GGAATTACTTTGAATTCCGCTCTCTATTTATACAAATTTTATGCTACTTTCTATTCTATCTATATACTATCTTTTATGTTCTTTTTACATATTATCTTTGAACTATCTTTCTAATATGCTATCTATATTTTAAATGCACTATCTTTTAATATGCTATCTTTTATATATGTTCTTTTTAATGTTATCTTTTATATTCCATCTTTATACTATCTTTTTATATTATCTTTTATATTATTTTATGTTCTTTAATCTTTCTGACATTATTTTATATGTTCTTTCAATTCGCTTTATGTGTTTTGCTTATAATCTATCTTTTGTGGCTTATAATTATTCTTTCCAATTATTCTTATTGTTAAAGATTGCTAAGCCGCAATTGATCGACTCTAATTATTCTATTGGTTCTTTGTCAATCATTCAATAAATATTACATCATGTAAATCATTACTCTTCCTAAATATTTATCCTTTTCGGCTAATTATTTATCCATCTACGCCAATTCATAATTAATTTGTTCGTTCTTAATATTTGTCAATTACATTTGGTGGTTGAATTTTATCATATTTTCATGCTTGATATTTGACCTTTTACAGCGTGGATCCTTAAGGATTCCATAGATTGCTTCAGAATCCCTAAGGATCTGTGATTTTAAGGATTCTTTAAAAATCCTTATTGACTTGTAAAATATCCTTAAGGATTCTATAAATTTATAGATCCTTAAGGATTCTTATATAAAAAATCCTTAAGTATTCCTTGAATTTTAATTTTAAAAATTTTATATAAATTTTATCTTTAAATTTATTATATTATTATTTTACAATTAATATATTTATTTTAAAATTGAAATTTGTTTACAAAAAATTCATTTTTATGATCAAATCTCTTTACCATATGTATTAAACCTGCAATAGAATTAAAAGGTATTATTATATCATATTGATTTACTAATTTCATATGAGGACATCCATATTTTAATGGATGTCATTTTGAATAATAATCATACCAATGCACTAATACAATAGGAAAAATAGGATAATAATTAGGAAGAAATAAAATTTCAGCTATCATTAATATCTAAATAATTAAAAAATGTTAAATAATTAAAATTAAAGATTATTTTTAATATTAAAGCAATATTAAATAAACTTACTTTACCATAACACAATCCATCATCAGTTAAATAATCAACATTATCCATTGCTATTGCGATATCACTAAATTTTGCATTATTGTGAAATTTACTAGTAGCATAAATAATTTCATTATTTGACAATACTCCTGTAGCATAAATTTTTAAATAAATATCTTCACATTCAGTAACATTGGATTTATCATCCAAATAAGCATCTAAATAATTAATTAGGTGATGCATTCCTTCAATACATAGTTCATCTACACTATTTTCATGTTCAAGTTTTTCCCGAAGAGCTTGTAGATCACTAATCAGCAATTTCCATAATAATGATTTCATAGTTTCTAATTTTGAAACATGTGTTTTTTTTACATTAGTTATTATTTCTTATCGGCGAATCTAAATTAAAATATAATAAGTAAAAATATTTTTTTTAATTATAAAACAAAATTTAAACTAGTTAAAACTTACTGTTTTTAATATTTGATCAAGTACATTTTTTTTATTGGTCATTCTATATGGATTTTTAACCCAATTTTTATGTAAAGTCTCATAAGTATTAGTAGCTAACCCATTAAGTGATCCATAACGTTTGATTGTATGAATAGTGTGATACCGCCACATGTGAAGTTTTGGTAATTGAAGATTGCTAGGAGAGAAGTTTTTAAACAATTTTACAAAATTTTGTGTTCAATCAATTATTTCATACTGCAAAATTAATTATAAAATCAATAAGAAAAAATTATCATTATTAATACTTAAATTGAAATTAATTAATTACCTCAAAACTTTTCAATTCACTTTCATTAAATTTTTCTTTTTTTGATGTTTTATACATTTTAATAAACTTAATATAACATTTAATAAGTTTTAAACATGATGTACCATTATCTATTGCGTAAAGTTCATTAAGTACAAATACGATAATCTTCATTACATCTCACATTTCAGCCCCTGTAAATTTTACCTCTTGTTGATATCCTTTTGATAATATTCTTAAATTATTATATGGCGTAATAGTTCCTAAACGATTATCCATTTTAGTAAGGAATTGATTTCCACATTGTTGCGCAATCATATTTCTTGTATACATCAGGAAATTTTTTCAGGAGATAAATATCGATGTTTATCACTTCATCGGTAGTTATCACATTTTATCACATGAAATATGGCAATAATTAACGATATTGATTATTAACGAAAAAAATCTACAAGTTAATTATTAATAATTAACGATATTGATTATTAACAAAAAAAATCTACAAGTTAATTATTAATAATTAATAATTAACGATATTGATTAATATCGTAAAAAATCTATAAGTTAATTATTAATAATTAACGATATTGATTAATATCGTAAAAAATCTACAAGTTAATTATTAATAATTAACAATATTGATTATTAACGAAAAAAATCTACAAGTTAATTTTTAATAATTAACGATATTGATTAATATCGTAAAAAATCTATAAGTTAATTATTAATAATTAACGATATTGATTAATATCGTAAAAAATCTATAAGTTAATTATTAATAATTAACGATATTGATTATTATCGTTAATTATCAACAATAATTAACTATATTGATTATTACAACTGAATTAACTGATAATTTATCCTTATTAGTATTTTAATAAATATATCTATTAACAAAATATTCATTTTCACAGTTATTTCTTGGTATGATATGAACTGCCATATCTACCGAATCTAGATAAACGCATATGTACTGATCGGTTAGTTGTATTCTTTTACATTCATACATTTCTTCATATATTTCATCATACCATTGTAGTAAAATAAGGTTTATTGGATCTTTTTTATTTTCTGCAAAAAATTCAAATAATAGAAGTGCCTGGAAATTAAATTAATAATGAATGTTATATAATTTGAAAAAAAATTAGGTTTCGTAGTAATTATAATGATTAAATTGTTACCTTTCCATACCATTCAGTTTTCTCAGAGGAAACTGCTACATCGCTAAACCACTCACTGCCATAAAAACTTCCTGACGTTCGAATAATATCCATTGATTCAACAGATGCATTTGAATATATTTTGAAATATCCAAAATTTTCATCATAAGTAACATCATTTTCTGTCAAAAACTCTTCCAACCCAGCACGAAAATTTTTAAACCCTGTTTTATGTAAGGGATTAATAGTATCATCTTGTATTATTTGAGATACTTTTTCTTCAATTTCAGTAAATTTAAATTCCCACAGCAGATTTTTAAATCCGCTAGATTTCCTTATTTTATGTAACTTTTGTTTAGAAGCAATTAATTGACGTCATACCTATATAAATTTTAAAATATATTATTATCGATAAATTAACTAATAAAGATATACCGATATATACCGTTTTAAGCATTTGTAGAACATAGTTTTTTTTATTGGTCGATCTGTAGGGATTTTTTACATTGCTTTTGTGTAATGTTTCATACGTTTCAGTCGACATTACGTTCATAAAACCATAAAGGCGAATTGATGGAATTACATGATAGCGGAGCATGTGAAGTTTTGGGATTTTACAATGGCTGGTAGAATATTCAAAAAATATATTTACAAATTCTTGACAAAATTCAATTATTAGCGTCTAATAATCATAATATATTAACAATTATTAAAATTGTATTTAATGATAAAACATTTAACTGATTAAAATTGTATTTAATGACAAAACATTTAACTGATAGAGTTATTTTAAAACATTTACCTCTAACTCTTTTAAATCCATATCTGTAAACATTTCTTGTCGCAACATCATATACATTTTTAAATATTTATAAAAAACATTGCATAATTTTTTACACATTATTCCACCTTCTTTGTAATTATCATATAAATTATCTATAATAAAGATGATCACTTTCATTATGTTGCGATAATCATTGGCAGTAAACTTCGTTATATTTTCTAATCCATTTTTAAAAATAATCAATCCTGGGTAACGTGGAATTTTACGAAGTCTATGATCAATTTCGTTAACAGTTTTACTGTCAACTTTTTGCTGTAAATATTCACGTGTATACTCTAGAAGATATTTTGTGATTCCAAGATCGAGCATGTGCATCCGATCCAGAACCGTTGCTGAGTAAATGTTAAAATCTTTAGATTTCCAGAAATAATTAATTTCTTCATGAATCAAAAAATCTTTTGCTCGATTTTCATTGATTATTTTTTTCATGATTTCTGGGGTTCGTAAAGTAATATGAGATAACTCCATATTATTAAGATCATTGTTATCTACTAGACAACAATAGCAAGGTCGTTTTGACGTTGATGGTAGATATGTCATAGTAAATGCACCAGCTTCTGCCATGTCAGCAAGAATTACTGATATTTTTGGCGTGAATGAGTATATTTCATTTTTTATGACAAAATACATATTGGTTTTATTTATTATTGGTGATAATAATATTTGAAGACATCTTTGAAATACTTGTCTTTGTAATCTTTGGAATGATTTGGAATTTTTTGTGGTATTATCCTTAGCCTTTAATTTTGGTAAATACCCGATAAGTACCTTAGCATCAGGTTTATTTCGTATCCAATTTGGGATATTTCCAAGTGAAATGTAAATGGGATGTTCCGAAGATTTTCCAAGATGATCACAGGTGGTAGAATCGGCATAGATTATTATCGATAACAAATGATTATCAATAGGAATGTTTTTTTCTGTAGTACACCACCATTCACTTTCGTATTACTCGCCATAAGATGTATTATTATTTTGACTATACTTAAAGACAAATTCATTATTAATATCAGATTGAAGAAGTAAAACTTTAATTCCATGAATTATTGGTTGATAATAAAATTCATAGTCAACTTCTTGAAAATTGGTAATGGGAACATTTTTAAATTTCATATAAGGAAAATTACTGTTATCAAGGAATTTTTGGCCCTCTTTGGTAGATTTTGGAAACAAATTTTATCAACATTTTCGATTGAATTAAATAATTTGATTAATCTATCGCCACATGAATTTGGTAACTGATATTCAGTGACGATTTCCATAAACTGCCGATAAATATTACTTGGCCACTCGGTGCTGAGAGGATGATTTTTGTCTTTTATAGCATCATCCAATGTGGTTTCACGATAATCATTTTCATCAATAAATAACGGAAATGTTAAGCCAGCATTAATTTCCTCCTCATCTGTTTCACTATCGATATTAAACTTCTTATTTTCCTCATTTGTTTCTTGAGAAAAAGCTTCTGATATAGTTTTAGATTTTGAAACTGCAGCTGAAGATTCTGCATTTTGATCTAATATCATTTGTTCAGCTTCATCCTGTTTATAATTAAATATCAATTAGTAATTATTAATTATCGTGGTTAATGATGATTAGATTATTTGTAGTATTACCTCATAATAATACATTATAAAGTCATCATCTGAAAAAAGGGTTTCTTCAGTTTGTTTTTCATCATCCCAAAGACCGGGTTTATCAGTTTGTATAGCTGGTTTAAATTCTTTTTCATCCCTAGTAATGTTTTCTTTTTCATCGATAACATCATATTGATGTTTATCGGAAATATGTCATTTTAATCCAAATGGACTTGAAAAAGTACGTGGACAATGTAAACATTTATAAAAAGGCATTATCGAAAGTTAATTGTACGTATTGAAAGTGAATTCAGCAAAATTAATTTATTTTGTATATTGCAGGTTTGATCGTAATATATGTAGATTTCAAATTTTTTAACAGAATTTCGTAATATCAATACCGAGGACAATTTTTATATTAAATGCAAAAAACTACATTCTCAGTAAAATTGGTTTGATAATGGAGTTAAAGGAATTTGATCATGTCAGTAATTTTGTAAGTAGACGGATTCAATTAAATCGTTAAAATCATCATGATTTGAAACTTATTTTGATAAATTTTATATAGTAAATTTATTTTTATTTTTTAATAACTAAATAAAGACATAAATCGATCAAAGTATAATTAATTAGTTGATTAATTAAAAGGAAAGTAAAGAAAGCAATAATGCAAGTTGATAAAAATGCAAATCGATCAAGAAAATGATGATAAGTATAGTAATTAATTAATTAGTAATTAATTTAATTAATTAAAAAGAAGTGATGTAAGTCGATAAATTTTTTAGTGTGTTGCAAGTATAATATTTCAAAAAAACTAATGATGTAATTTGATACTTTCACATACTTTTAGTGTAACTTCAGATAAGCTTCTTAAACTACAGAATTTTTTCATCATTAAACTTCATTCTTTCTCTTAAACTTTGGAATTTTTCATCTTCCTCAAACTTCATTTCTTTCTCAACATTTTTTTAAAAAAATGAAACACAAATCTAAACAAAAAAATCAAAAATCAACTAGTAAAAGCGAAAAATCAAAAAAATCTACGTCTACTAGCAGTCAAGAGGAATAAAATTTTACAACGACGGAAGGTAAATAATAACATTTATTATTTTAGATTAATTTTAATAATATGATGTATTATGTTCAATTTTAATAAACAATGTTTAGAAAAAGATGCTGCTTCTTCTACATATAGTAAAAAATTGAAACGAAGTAAGTGGTTTGATTATGATGTTTATAACGTTTATAATTATAATGGTCAAAATATCCATCATGATTTACTAAAAATTATCCTACTATAATTTACCAGACTATAATCATGACGATGATACTGCAACAACCTTAACAGGTTCTGAAACCACTGCTGGGACCACAATCATCATTAATTCACGTCCTAGTCATTCAACCACTCCAGATTCTTCGACAAGTCCATCCACTCATACATCACGACGTTTGAACGTGCCAATTATCGAAGTTGAAAATCCAATAGACAAACAAAGATGTATAATGTCCAATTATCATCCCAATAAATGGGAAGAAATTTTAGTTAAGCAGAACAAAAATATTCAGGAAATCTTAGTGAAGCAGGGGAAACAAATTCGAGTTCTATACGAGCTACAAAAATCCACAAATGAAAAATTGACATGGGTTCAAAATCAACTAAAATCACAACCTAATAAAAAAGATGATATCGATTTAGACCAGAAGGTCTTCATGGTGAGTAATTCTATATTTTCAGTATCATACCATTTTTAGATTACCATTGATAATTTTCATTGTATATTAATAACAAATATAGGAAGGTTATAGCCAATTGTGCAGAAGTTTTTTTCCAGATAATTTGTGGCCAAATTTCAATGATTATAAAGTTGGATTGGAAAATTGGCTTAATAAAAATCATCCAAATTACCTTAAGGAACTTGGAGAGCAAAAGTGGACAAACTTATTTACCGGGCAGCACCATTCTATGGTAATAATCATCTATTATCATTATAAATTATAAATTTTATTACCAATAATAACCAATAATTAGCTTTTGCACAAAATGAAAGATTTGAGGGGTACCTATGCTGCCACGGTCCGAAATTCGATTTTCAAAGAACTCAGATTGCAGATACCTAACAACAGGAAAAAGTGTAATTTCATTAACATCTCAGAATGGAAAAAATCAAAAAGAGTTAAGGAATGTTATATGATGATAATGAAAATGTGATAGAAAATATCGCCAATCTAGCTTTCTCCACTATATCGAGAGATGATGAATCATACAAAGGTGTTTACATATACACGGTGGCGGTCTGTAATATCATTTTAAATCCAGGCTATCCGGACATAGAATGTGCAAAAAAACCCTTGGAGAGACGCCTCCAAAAATTCAAGGTAATTTTTTTTACTATTGATTAAAAAATTGAAATTATCAAAATTGTTGAAATTTATTTAAATCAACATTTTAGGAATTACTCACAAATAACGGATCTATTAAACTTAGTGATTCTGCGTCGGTAATGCAAGAAGAAGCTCCTGAAACTATGAAGAAGAAAAAAGATGAAGAAGAAAAAGGCGACGTTAATGCAGAAGATGAAGAAGAGAGAGATCAAGAACAATATTTTGATGCATTGTTCGAGGAAAATTAAGATGAGAAAGGTAATGTTATACAATTAAATATTCATACGAAGCTTTTATTATTTAATTAATAGTGTTTATGATTTATAATAAAAGATTCCGATGTGTGTCACGATCGAAATCATTGAATATAATTATAAAAAAGGTGGCACTTGGCACTCATCCAAGAAGTAATTTGAACATTATATATATTAGATCTAATATTCGTATAGAATTTAATATCGTTAAAATGCCTACCGAAAAACCATTTCATCATAGAGCTGGCTCGTTAAAACAATCCAATAAGCCATTTAAGTCAAAACATGCAACCAAAGGAACCATCAGAGATAAAACAAAAGGTTACCGAATTTTTTTCGCTATTAATCTTTTTTTTTATTAATACATTTATGCTTATATTTTGATCCGATAAATAGTAATGAATTATTCCAATTATTTAGTATTATTAAATTTTATTGCTATAATCATTTATAAATATAACGTTAATAAATGCAATGGTTATTCTCGACAATTATCTAATAAAAATATTATCAATGTTTATCATGTGGGTTAAATTACGATAATTATAATTTTGGTTGATATTCGATATTTATCATTTAGGCTAAATAGTGATATTTTATCACTGTTTATCCATATCGATATTACTCGACGAGTGTGATTATTATCGATGTTTATCACGTGATCTTTTCATTGACATATAACCCCTAAAAATTTTCCCGATGTAATCAAGCATATATGGACATAAACCTATTTCCTGAAGATGCATACGATCCATAGCTGTCGCATCATAAATATTTGTCTGAAATTTCCAAAAAAAATTATTATATTCATAAATAGAACATTCAGTAGCATTATTTGAAAGAATAGCTTCGCGCATATTATTATTATCACGTAAAACAATGGAGTTTTGTTCAATATTCATATTATTTAATTGATCACCAGGTGTAAGACATTTATAGCAAGGACATTGTGTACGATATGATTTATACGTACAACAAATATTTTGTGCTTCTGACATGTCTGCAAGTATAGCAGATAAGTGCAGAGTAAAATGTTCAATTCTTCCATTTATTGCTAAGTAGATGCCATTTTTTTGAAGTAGTGGACTTAATAAATATTCAAAAGAAAGCTGTTCTAGCTTTCGTTGCATCTGTCTAAATATTGTGGACCCTTTTAATTTATTATAACGAGTAATTAAATATGGAAGAAAACCAACTAAAACTTTAGCATCAGGAGAATTCCGACGCCAGTTTGGAATATTACCCAGAGTTAAAAAGATTGGATATTCCGATTGTCTTCCTAAAGAATCAAGTGTTGTGCCATCAATATAGATCATGATCGCTAAAATCTTACTAAATGAATTCTGTCTTTCACGCCACCAATTTGCACTATTCTGTTCAGAGTAAACACGAACTAAATTTCCATTTTTAAATAAAATACAAATATTAGTAAATAGGATTATAATTTACTGTATTATTGGTTTTTTATAATTTCTACTTACATCATCATGTTCCTACAGTTCTTTATAATCAAAAAGGAAATTTTTACTTAAGTTGGGATTAGATACAAACTTTTAATAGCATCAATAATTGGTCGATATTGAAGTTTGTAAATTTTTCCTTCAAACTCAACCATATCTTTCATTTTTATATTAAAATCTTTAATATTCATTTGATCCATATACATTCTACCTTTTCGAGTGAAGCCAGGAAGAGGTTCGGTACAATATTTTCGAATTATGCGTAACATAGAATCAGCAGCTGCATCTGAAAGACGATGTTGTGTGACAGCTGCCATGAACTCTTTATATACTTCGCTCGGCCATAATGTCTTGATTACATCAATTTTATTATTACATAAGTCTTCATATGCATCGTTTAAATCCACTCTATAAAAATCTTTATTTTCATTATTATTTATCCATTTGAATCTCTCATCATCATCACTATCAACTTCATTACCTTTCATACTTTTATTAATTCTATTATTTCAATTATTTTCAACATTAGTATCAGTTCCACTGTCAGTTTCATTAAAACCATCATTAACGTTTTCATTTGATCTGCCATCAACGTTTTCGTCCGATTTGTCATCATTGTTTTCGTCCGATCTGTCATCATTGTTTTCATTCGATCCATCATCCATTCTTTTTGATCTGTCATCACACATCCCTTCTGATTTATCACTATTATCATCAACTTCTCTTTTATCATAATCTCAGTTTATCTTAAATAAAAATAGTAATTAGAAGTTGTCAAATTCGTTAATAATCATAAAAAATAATACCTACCTTAGCTTGTAAAAAATCACCCAAATCTCCGATTTCATTCCAAATATTATTACTAATAGAAAATTGTGGTATTTGCGGTATAGAGTTCAACTGTTATTGGTTTTGAATCCAATTCGATGTATATGAACGTTTAAGGTATGGATGAAGCTGATTATAATGTTGTGCTAGGTCAGCTTTTCGTGAAAAACGTCTCTCACAAAGACTACATTGATTCATTTTTAATTAGAAATCAATACGAGGTTTGATTAGATATTAGATGGATATGATAATTATTACAATTAAAAATGTAAGACGTCACTATGATAAAATAGTATAAAAAAATAGAGGTTGGAACCGGTCCAAAAAGTCTTAACCGGTTAATAACCGGTTAACCAAACCTTTAACCGGTTAATTAACCGGTTAAAACTCAATCCTAGTCAGAATTAAAATTTGGCCAGGATTAGCATCAAATATATTTTTAATCCCGGCCAAAATTAGGCCAAACCACTATCGAAACAAAACTCTAGCTGAAAGACGAAATTAAGGCCAAAATTGTCTGGCCGGCACTATGAATTTCGGCCCGCATATATAACACAAAAAATTCCTTACCTGGTGGCTAAACTTTTATCTGAAGTCCCGTGATTTATAATTCTGGCCGGCACTGTAAATTTGGCCAGAATTACGCATTTTAACCAGTTAATTTAACCGGATAATTTAACCACTTAAAAATTGTTTTTTAACCGGTTAACAAATGTTTTAACCGGTTAACCGTTTTAACCGGTTAATTAACCGGTTAAGCTTAACCGGTTCCAACCTCTATAAAAAAATTCATATGTAAGACGTCATTATAAATAGTATATCATAATTATACTATTTTCCAAAAAAAAAAAAATTTTAATCCGGAAAAAATTTTAACCGAAAAAAAAACTTACCCACGCAATAATTTCTTTATGGCTAAAGATAACGGTTGGTATTGTTTTCCGCCATGCCAAAGAGAATGATTCCTACTTGCCAAAGGGTAAACTCTGTGACCAACTGTAGAAAATACACAAGGAACCCTTCTAAGGTTGCTTGTCTAAACCTCTTCAAAATCCTACGATTAGTTTCATCAAAATTTTACTATAGATTTATTATAGTTTCGGCAGAGTTTCAGCAGTTTTGGCAGTTTCGTCTTTCTCCAAAGTTTTGCCAGTTTTTTAATATAACTTTAATATAGTTTTGGCAGAATTTTACTTTTTGGCAAAACGCCATCTTGCCTAAACCCCTAAGTTTCGGCAAGCAACCTTAGACCCTTCTCTTGCCACTTTTTTAAATAACTAAAATGATTCCAGCCCATCTGACGCCTGAAGATTTTAAGTGATTTTAAAATAAGAGAATAAGAGGGGAAACGTGGGAAGCCTTTTTTTCTTATAAAAAATTCTATTCGTAATTATATAGTAAGACGAAAAGCTTTAACTACCAAGCAAAGCCAAAATTCTCAAGAACCTAAGAATGTGGCTAATTAGTGCTCTACACGAGCCAAGCTAGCTCATGAGCTGGCTCAAGCTTTTCAAGCTGAGCCAAGCCAAGCCATGATTAAATTGGCTTGGTGGCTCACGAGCCAGCTTGAAAGAGCTTGAGCCAGTTATTAGGCTCAGCTCAAAAAGCTCGAGCCTGTAACAGACTTGGCTCAAAAAGCTCGAGCTGGCTCATGAGCCAAACGAGCTATTATACAAAAAATGTTGCGAAACGTTTTCGCAACTTTTTTTCATTGTTTATTAAAGAACATTGTGAAAATGTTTATTTAAGTTTTTACATGTAAAATTGAAAAAAAACGCCAGAACTAATGATTCCAGCGTTTTTACATGTAAAATAGGATCCCGGATATCTAATATAAAGGTCATAATGGACTTTTGGCCAACAGGAAAGCTATCGTAAATGTCTCCACCAATTTCTTTTAACACTATTTTCATGAATTTTAGTTGAGATTCGGTCACTGTTTTAGGGAGATTGAACTTTTTTCGGAAGGTCATTATCCACAATAAAATCCATGAAAATTTATTATCGATTGTTGTTTTTTCTTCCTCTTGATATGATTTAAAATCTGGTGGTGAATAATTTTCAAAAGTATCGGCAAAAGTTTCATCATCTGACTCATTGCCATCAGAAGAAGAAGTATCAGTATGTTGTTCATAATCAGAATTGCTCAAATCTTCTGTTCCTGAATGTTCGAGCATAATTTGTGGGCGATTTGCGTAGCTTTTTGTACGTCTTCAAGGTAAAAAAATATATTCGTTTTCGTTGTATTCTGGAGTTGTCGAATTATCTTTTTCATTTAATGGAATTGTTGTCGAATCTTCTTCTAAAGGAGTTATTACCGAAATCTCTTCATTTAATGGAGGTACCAAAATATCTTCATTTATCGGATTTTCTTCTAACGAAGTTATTGTTGAATCCTCTTCTTGATTAATTAGTAACAATGAAGCCAAACCACTATTAAGATTCGAGTCAGTTGTGTTTTCTGCTGCTTCATGAAGCATTTTGGTTCGTGTTATAACCAGTTTTCCATTACATTTGTCNTTTCTATGTATTTTAGATGTATTAAACCGCCGATCAAGTTTTTTAAAGTAAATAAACACGAAACTTTGACAAAAAATTATATTTTCAGATAGTTTTGCGTTTCTTTATTACCGATCAATTATTTTTTTTTCATGGATTATAATGATTATCAATTGATTTTTCATCTTAAACATGGGGTACGATCATATTTTAATAAGGTTACTTATAAAATTACATATGGCGACAGTTCTGGTTATTATTGATCAGTCTGTATAACCTATGAGTTGGCCCCCCCGTTTATTTATCTAACCCCTAGATTTTATCTTTATTATCGTATTTTTATAAAATCACGTGATATACAAAATGTACATTTAAATCTGAATTTTTTGAAATAATGAGGAGGGGTTAATGTTAAACGAGACTATTTGTTGAAACGGCCTAACTCTAATTCATTGACAATAGGCGCAATATAATGATTAATCTTGTACAAGCTTACTTCGTTCAGTCCTGGTAGTAGACCGAGAACCAGCAAATTTTCGCGCTTGAACTGAATGTCACGGGGTAAATTACAGATAGCCGTGTAAATTACCCAATACTATAAAATGTACCATCGTAGGGCTGGAACTAATCAAGGTTTATCATTAGTCCTAGATGTGAATCGGCTACTTCTGGTCATAAAAATTTTGCTGAATTTTCATCGTCAGTTTCTCTTAATGTTTTCCAGATTTGACCATCATATATATCGGTCAGTATGTTATCGAATTGTTGACGATTTGACCAATATCGAAGTAACCGTTCAAAGTGAGGCTGACGATATAGAGTTTCCAATTGTTGATGAATCGGTATAAATGGATATATTAATTCTGGCTTTTTAACCTCTCTCTCAGCCAAGACCGTTTGACACGATTTCGTCCTTTGAGACGCAAAATTTGGAAATTCGACGTGACTGCATCTTATGATACCGATACTGTCATTTTTTTGAATTTTGTCCATGTCTGTCTTATTATATAATTTATGACATTTCGGACATGGCACGAAACTATGGAAATGATCTTTCAGGCCAAGTTGAATTCTTGCCAGATATAGAGAGTCAGGAAAGCTATCGTAAATGTTTCCACCGATTTCTTTTAACACTATTTTCATGAATTTTAGTTGAGATTCATTCACTGTTTCAGGGAGATTGAACTTTTTTCGAAAGGTCATTATCCACAATAAAATCCATGAAAATTTATCATCGATTGTCATTTTTTCTTCCTCTTGATATGATTTAAAATCTGGCGGTGAATAATTTTCAAAAGTATCGGCAAAAGTTTCATCATCTGACTCATTGCCATCAGAAGAAGAAGTATCAGTATGTTGTTCATAATCAGAATTGCTCAAATCTTCTGTTCCTGAATGTTCAAGTATAATTTGTGGGCAATTTGCGTAGCTTCTTATACATCTTCGAGGTAAAAAAATATATTTGTTTTCATTGTATTCTGAAGTTGTCGAATTATCTTTTTCATTTAATGGAATTGTTGTCGAATCTTCTTCTAAAGGAGTTATTACTGAAATCTCTTCATTTGGAGGTACCAAAATATCTTCATTTATCGGATTTTCTTCTAATGAAGTTATTGTCGAATCCTCTTCTTGATTAATTAGTAACAATGAAGCCAAACCACTATTAAGATTTGAGTCAGTTGTGTTTTTTGCCACTTCGTGAAGCATTTTGGTTCGTGTTATAACCAGTTTTCCATTACATTTGTCACAATAACAAGGGACTTTGGTTCTTTTTTTGCTAAACCTTCTAGAAGATAGTCAGTTTGCTATCCTTTCTGAACCCATAATTTGATTAATCGATCTTCTTCTCGTCATGTTTTATAAAATTTGATAAAGAATCGGTTATAATTAATATATACTTTAAAATTTAACGAAACTTTGACAAATGAAGTCAATTTTTCTCTTGAAAATTAAAATTTTATGAAATTTTTTTTTTAGTTTGAAAATTTCGGTTAAATTTAATCCGTTAGTAATTGATTTAATAAAAGTTTAATTTTGAGATTTCGATTAATTAAATTTTCAATCATGAGAATTTTTTTTAATTTGAAAATTTCGGTTAAATTTGATCCGTTAGTAATTGATTTAATAAAAGTTTATTTTTGAGATTTCGATTAATTAAATTTTCAATCATGAGAATTTTTTTAATTTGAAAATTTCGGTTAAATTTAATCCGTTAGTAATTGATTTGATAAAAGTAATAAAAGTCTAATTTCGATTAAACTTTTTTAACGATTAATTAACTTTTAAATCAAATTTCGGTTTTATTTTTATCAAATAGACTTTTTCCCAGGAAAGCTTATTTTGAATTTTGAATTTATAAAGCTCCATCAATCGAATTTTTTCGCAAAAATAATTTTATTTTTTCGATAAACAATTCTTGTAATTTTTATAAAATTTTTATAAAATCTGCAATACATTTTTATATTGATCGTCAAACATAACTTTTATATAAATCGAACAATATTTTTCGTCATTTTGAAAGAAAGTTCTACTTTATTTACTAATTTTACTATTCTTCTGTTTATTAAAATCTCTATAAAGAATGAAACGATCTGGACAAAAAAGTGTCAAAAAAAGTCGTCAAGAGTCTCACAAACAAACTTTTTCACAGGAATTTGTAAGTTCTGATTCTCCCAAACAAACGTCGATATCGAAATAACAATCCGCAGCTTCCAGTTCTGGTACTATCAAAATTCAAAAACAAGCGTCAAAACAGGAATCTGCAGCTTCCGGTTCTGGTTCTACCAAAACTCAAAAACAAATATCGAAACAGGAATCCACAGCTTCCAGTTCTGGTTCTACCAAAACTCAAAAACAAACGTTGATACCAGAAGCTTCAGAAGATAATGGGCCATTTCGCTTAGTGGTATTATCCAGCTTGTACTCGCAACAAAGCAAGATGGTACCACCAATTCGTAATGTAACCATACATAGGGAATTAATGCCCATTACACGCACAGCCAAACCGTATAGGAGCAATGTACTTAGGGAATTAACGCTTATTACACGCACCACCGAACCATATAGGAGCAATATACATAGAGAATTAATGCCAATTACACGCATCATTGAACCGTATAGGAGCAATGTACGCATCGCCAAACCGTATAGGAGCAATGTACGCACCACTGAACCATATAGGAGAGAATTAACGCCAATTATACGTGAACCTTATAGTAGTAATTGGACTAGAGATGTAAATGGTGAGCTACAATTGACTTTTGTATTCATTTTAGAGTTCTGGTCGACTTTAACGTTTTTTTAGAAACGTATAATCTCTGAGAAGAAAATGCCTACTTACAGGAAAGAATCGATGAATTAAATCGGCAACTCGATAATGCAAATGGCAAGTTGCGTGACCTACGGCTAGACGTTGGCCAATTACAATCGTATAACAATATACTTAGTCAGGAAAATGATGGCTTGCATCACCGACATTCATCTGACCTTCAAGATATCGAATTTGAAGAGGATCAATGACTAACAAAGCGTAGGAAAGGAAAAAATCTTGTGCGCGATTCTGAAGATGAAATAGAAGTAGATGAAGAAGAAGCTAGGGTTCGTCCAAAAATCCTCTTTCAATGTATGCTTTTAACGCTTGCTAAACCGATATTTTGTACAATTTAGGCTGAGATAAAGACGATTCTAAAACTTTTCCGATTGAACTAGAATTAAAATATGATGAAAAGTTTACCAGTGAGTCGAATGATGAAATTCTTCAACAGGTTATATCTCGACTAATTGAAGCAATGAAGCCAAGGTATACTCTACGATACAGGCAAGTCAAGTCTTGGCTTTCTGCTTTACATAAACATTGCAGAGTGCGCTTGTTATATAAACAACGCAGCACTTTAGACAAAGATAATCACCGTCTACATCGAAACAATCGGTTAAATGAGGTAAATAATTTCTTTATTATTTCAAAAAAAAAAAATCTCATCATTCGTCGAAACTTTAAATATAGAAAAAGGCACGTTGTGACATGCCGCCCATAGGATATTAAAATAAAATATCGTATGTTGCCACCGACGTGTTGAGTTCGAATAATATCTATGCTTGGTTTAAGAATAAAAATTAGTTACAAAACATTAATAAACCATTAATTAAAATNCAAAACTCAAAAACAAACGTCGAAACAGGAATCTGCAGCTTCCGGTTCCAGTTTTACTAAAACTCAAAAACAAACGTTGATACCAGAAGCTTCGGAAGATAATGGGCCATTTCGCTTAGTGGTACCATCCAGCTTGTACTCGCAACAAAGCAGGATGGTACCACCAATTCGTAATGTAACTGTACATAGGGAATTAACGCCCATTACACGTATAGCCGAACCATATAGGAGCAATGTACATAGGGAATTAACGCTCATTACACGCACTACCGAACCGTATAGGAGCAATGTACGCATCGCCGGACCTTATAGGAGCAATGTACGCACCGCCAGACCTTATAGGAGCAATGTACGCACCGCCGAACCATATAGGAGAGAATTAACGCCGTTCTGGTCGACTTTAACGTTTTTTTAGAAACGTATGATCTCCAAGAAGAAAATGCCTGCTTACGGGGAAGAATCGACGAATTAAATCGGCAACTAGATAATACAAATGGCGAGTTGCGTGACCTACGGCTAGACGTTGGCCAATTACAATCGTATAACAATATACTTAGTCAGGAAAATGATGGCTTGCATCACCGACATTCATCTGACCTTCAAGATATCGAATTTGAAGAGGATCAATGACCAACAAAGCGTAGGAAAGGAAAAAATCTTGTGCGCGATTCTGAAGATGAAATGGAAGTAGATGAAGAAGAAGCTAGGGTTCGTCCAAAAATCCTCTTTTAATGTATACTTTTAACGCTCGCTAAACTGATATTTTGTACAATTTAGGCTGAGATGAAGATGATTCTAAAAACTTTTCCGATTGAACTAGAATTAAAATACAATGAAAAGTTTACCAGTGAGTCGAATGATGAAATTCTTCGACAGGTTATACCTCAACTAATTGAAGCGATGAAGCCAAGGTATACTCCACGATACAGGCAAGTCAAGTCTTGGCTCTCCGCTTTACATAAACATCGCAGAGTGCGCTTGTTATATAAACAACGCGGCACTTTAGACAAAGATAATCGCCGTCTACATCGAAACAATCGGTTAAATGAGGTAAATAATTTCTTTATTATTTCAAAAAAAAAAAAATCTCATCATTCGTCGAAACTTTAAATATAGAAAAAGGCACATCGAGTTAAAGGCGCAAAATCACTTTTTGACAAAAATGATGAAAAACTGGAGAATTATGATCAAAAAGAACTTTTGAATGTTTTAAGTGACAACCGATATCACTCTCCAGAGTATTCTGAATCGGATGAGGAGCAACCAGACGGTAAAAGACATATCAATGTTTATAATCAGTCTTGGAGATCTGAAGAGGTTCGATAACTTATTTGTCGCATTTTTTATTTTTTATTTTTTATTTGTATTATTTTTTTCGTAATAGGATTGATTTTTTTTCTAATAATAGTTAATAGATTTATTACGAAATGTCTTGGACCAACACGCTTTCTCTCTTCAATCTGCACAATTGATACGAACNGAATTTCCTATCGAAATCCACTTGTATTTATACATTTTTAAGAAAAATATTTCTAATATTTCTAATATTTCTAATAAAATTTGAAGATCTATTATCATATGACTATCTCGTTACACTAAACTAAACTATAAATATAATTTTATTGGTTAATTATTTATCCATCAGTTAATTATTTATCCTTATTCTATTTTATTGTATTTTTCGGTTATTACAACGTCAAGTTAAAGGCGCAAAATCGCTTTTTGACAAAAATGACGAAAAACTGGAGAATTATGATCGAAAAGAACTTTTGAATGTTTTAAGTAACAACTGATATCACTCTCCAGAGTATTCTGAATCGGATGAGGAACAACCAGACGGTAAAAGACATATCAATGTTTATAATCCGTCTTGGAGATCTGAAGAGGTTCAATAACTTATTTGTCGCATTTTTTATTTTTTATTTTTTATTTGTTTTATTTTTTTCGTAATAGGATTGATTTTTTTTCTAATAATAGTTAATAGATTTATTACGAAATGTCTTGGACCAACACGCTTTCTCTTTTCAATCTGCACAATTGATACAAACGCAAAATTATGATGATAAGATATATAATATCATCTCTCGTTATTTACGAGGTGCTCCAAATTGGACCTATGTGGAGCAGAATATGCTGGCCAATATTGACTTTTCTGAGCCGGAGATGCCAATTCAAATGATGGAGAGTCTAATAATGGCGGAAGATGCGGAAGTGTCAGCGGAGATGGACAAAATAGTAGTAATAGAAGATTCGGAATCAACGGGAATGGAAGAATCAGAACCAACGGAAATAGAAGAATCAGAACCAATGGGAGTGGAAGAATCGCCAGAAACAGAAGATGAAACAGACAAATGGTATAAATTTGTACTTTAATTTTTGTTTGAGTTTTTATTATACTAACTTTTTTTCGAATTTTAGATTGTGAATTCGTCAGTTTTTTTTGGATTTTTTTTGAAAATTATGGGATTTTTTGTGAAATTGTGGATTGAATTTTTTTATTTTTGTAGGAAATTTTTATTAATTTAGTATTATTTCGTGTTATTTTCGTATTGTTTATGTATTATTTATGTATTATTTTTGTATTATTGTTGTAGGAAATTTTTATTATTTTCGTATTATTTTAGTATTATTTTCGTAGAAAATTTTTATTATTTTAGTATTATTTTCATAGGAAATTTTTATTATTTTAGTATTATTTTCGTATTATTTTCGTATTATTTTTGTAGGAAATTTTTATTATTTTAGTATTATTTTCGTATTATTTTAGTATTATTTTCATAGGAAATTTTTACTATTTTTGTAGGAAACTTTTGCGATTTAATTGATTTAATTAAAATAATTGGTAAATCAATCGAAATAAAATCGGTTTTAAAACTTAAATTTGCTAAATTTCGTCAAAATTATTATGGTCGATTTTATTTATTTTTGCAAATCAGCAAATTAAATCAATATCGATTTTTAAACGAATAGTCGATTGTTTATGACGAATTTCATTTGCATGGCAGGTTCGAATTTTATTGATATGTACAGCCGACTTTTTTAACTAATTCTGAAACTTTGCCAATTTCTAATTGCAAGTAGCAGGCGTTACAGTGCAAATCATCCATAAAATTAGTTGCCAATTTTTTTGGTACTGATCGGCTAATGTCAGACCAAATTTTGTCCAACATTCGGCAATTTAAAATTTTGCTGAAATGGACTATTCTGACCAGTGTTTTACTTTGTAGGTATCAGATTCACTCTGGACACGTAAATTTTGAAGAAGTTTGCAAAACTTCTTAATTTTTTTTGAAATTTAACTTTATTTTTTCTTTTATTTTATAGATGTCGGCTTTGGCTCTTGCACGGCATGTTAGATAGGCAGGTTTTGAAGTTTCATTATGAAACTTCTTTATTTTTTTTAAAAAATTTAATTAATTTTTTTTTCTTTTATTTGTAGATGTTGGCTTTGATTCTTGGATGTTGGATAGGTCGGTTCTGAAGTTTTATTTCGAAACTTCTTTTCAAAATTTTTTTTAAATTTAATTAACTTTTTTTTCTTTTATTTGTAGATACTGCTTCGATTCTTTAACTTTGAATAGGTGGGTTTCAAGGTTTCATTGCGAAACTTCTTTATTTATTTTAAAAATTTATTTAATTTTGTTTTCTTTTATTTGTAGATGTCGACTTCGATTCTTGTATGTTGAATAGATGGATTTCGAAGTTTTGTTTCAAAATTAATTTCTTTTTAAATTTTATTTAACATTTTTCTTTTATTTATAGATATCGGTTTTAGATTATTAGATGTTGGATGGGTGAGTTTTGAAGTTTCGTTTTAAAACTTTTTTTCAAAATTTTTTTTAAATTTAATTAACACTTTTTTCTTTTATTTGTAGATGTCAGTAAGATTGCTTGTCTAAACCTCTTCAAAATCCTATGATTAGTTTCATCAAAATTTTACTATAGATTTATTATAGTTTTGGCAGAGTTTTGGCAGTTTCAGCATTTATAATAAGTTTCGGCAGTTTCGCCTTTCTCCAAAGTTTTGCCAGTTTTTTAATATAACTTTAATATAGTTTCAGCAGAATTTCGCTTTTCGGCGAAATGCCATCTTGCCTAAACCCCTAGGTTTCGGCAAGCAACCTTAGATGTCAGCTTTGATTCTTTAACTTTGGGTAGGTGAGTTTTGAAGTTTCATTTCGAAACTTTATTTTTTTTAAATCTTTATTTTTTTAAAATTTTTTTTCTTTTAATTGTAGATATCGACTTTGATTCCAGGGTATCAGATATGTAAGTTTCGAAGTTTTACGAAACTTTAATTTTTTTAAAAATTAATTTAACATTTTTTTTTTATTTGTAGATATCGGTTTTGATTCTTTGGCTTTGGATAGGTGGGTTTCAAAGTTTCATTTTGAAACTTTAATTTTTGAAAAATTTAATTGATTTTTTTTTCTGTTATTTGTAGATACAGTCAACTCCCTCTATAGTCACTCCCGTTATAGTCACATTCTACTATATAGTCACACCAGTTGAATGTTCAAAACACTTTATTATTAAAATCTATCCTATATAGTCACAATCTATCTATAGTCACTATCACACCTGTCTCTTATACACATCTAGATGTGTATAAGAGACAGATCTTATACCATTAGATTCGTCTCATCAAGAAGAATCGAATGGTAGTAAGATCGTCTTTCTAGGATCAATATTGGCAGAGTTATTACACAAAAACCATTAATATTTTTTTAATTTCGGAAATTAATCTAGTGATTGGATTTCGACGTATTTTATACCATTAGAACCGTCTCATCAAGACGAATCGAATGGCGGTAAGATCATCTCTCTACGATTAATATTGGCGAAGTTACGATACAATAAAGTTTTAAGTATAATTCTGGCTAAAATTATGTTAATTTTTGGCCGGAATTATGATATACAAATATAAGAAATTTTTTATATAGTCACATCTCTTTATAATCACCAAATATGGACTGTCCCAAATGTGTGACTATAAAGAGAGTTGACTGTATCAGCTTCATTGGATAGGATGAATTTTAAAACTTTAAAAAACATTAATTCTAGGCGTGATAAACATGAAATTTTGGTGAGTTTTTAATAGATCTATTATTTAATGAAAATTTACTTACATTTCTTTTTTTTTTCATTTTTTTAGGTAACTAGTTTTCGGACCTTTGGATGTGTAAATTTCTTTTGTAGATATAATAGATAAATATTAGATAGGATATTAGATAAGATATTAGATAGGATATTAGATAGAATATTGCAATAATTATAATAAATACAATTTATACAAATTTCGGAATAAAATCATAGACCTATCAGTATACAATACATATAATGATCATACAAGTATCATACAGGTATTATTGAAGTATATAGATACCGATATGAGTATGATATCTATACAATATTTTCATGATATTTATAAACCGATATGTAACTTATATGTAATTTATATGTAACTATCTCTTCCATTAATCGGTGCCATATCGGGATTACTAATCCGGAGATATCAGAATACGATATATGGATTATCAGGTGATTATCAGGTGACTGATATATTACCGATATTCCATCATTTGACCAGTGATTCGTATAGGATATTTTTGATAAATAGAGATTTTTTTTTGAGATTTCTAAGTGTTCGTATGGGAAGAGTTCATATGGAATATTTTGATAAAGATTTTCTAAGAGTTCGTATGGAAAGAGTTTATATAGGATATTTTAATAGAGATTTTTTTTGTGAAATTTTTTAGGGTTCGTATAAGATATATCTTTGATTGATAGAGATTTCTTTTTTGTAAAATTTTTTAGGGTTCGTATAGATAATGTTTTTGATAGAAAATTTTTTTTTTGAGATTTTCTAAGATTTGTATAGAAAATAGATTTTTTTTTTGAAATTTTCTAAGAATTTGTATGAGATATTTTTAATAGAGAATTTTTTTAGAATTTGAACATTAAATAAAAAATAATATACTTTTTATTAAATTTATATTAAATAAATTAATATTATTAAACAATTTTAAAAAAATTTAGGTCTCTGAAAGTCAAAATAAAATTTAATACAAATTTAAAAGGTCACTATATATAAGGTAAAATTATGAGACGAGTAAATTTGAAATTTTCAGTTTCTGGAGATGCGATATTTATCTATTATATCTATTATTAACTAATTAAAATTCGGTCTGATCTTTATGCACGTGACCTGATCTTAACATGCATATAAATTACCAAACTCGAGTTTGTTTATTTTTCAAAAAATATACATGCTCTTTCTTTTCTGTTTTTTCTTACTCACTTTACATTTTACAGATATATTAATTATTGTATTTTTGTCATTAAATTTATTGTACTGGCTATATTTTATTTTATAATATTAACTTTATCACTTTTTAATATTACTAATGTAACGTTATATTTCTTTTATTTTATATTACTAATGTTATTCTTTTTTTTTATATTTTACTAACATCATCACGTATTTTTCTTTTTTTTTATCAAACTCTTCATAATACTAACTTTGTATTTGTACTTTACTATGATTACTAACTTTTATATTTACACTTTACTATTTATTAAATATTACTAACTTTATCAGTTATATTCTAACATCTGTTTTCAAATATTACATCATTTTGTAGTATAAAGTATTTAAAAAAAGATTATGAATGGTTTTTATTTAAATAAAAACACCATGTATTTTATTGTTTGTAGAGTTTATAATTTTAATAAATATTATAATGTGCTGTAATAAATTTTATTATTAGTTATGTGATTACTACCATAAATTAACCCATAAATTGACCATAAATTGACCATCGATTGACCATAAATTGACCATTAATTGACCATAAGTTAACCATCGATTGACCATAAGTTGACCATCAATTGACCACAAATTGACCATCAATTGACCATAAATTGACCGCCAATCAGTCACCAATCGGTCACCAATCAGTCACCAATCCGTCACCAACCGGTCACCAATCTGACACCAATCTGACACCAATCGGTCACCAATTTGATACCAATCGGTATATCAATCCATTATCAATCGGACTACCCAGTTGGTGTCAGATTTTGGCAGAAATCAGATGCCAATCGGGCAGCCCGATTGGTATCTGATTGAGGCAATCAGTTACCAATCAGGCACAAATCAGATACCCGATTGATGACTGATTGATAACTGATTTGACACTTTTTGACCTGTGTGAAAAGGAAGCTCTAGTACTTGGTGTCGACTACATAACAGAAGAGGAGGCAAAGAACTGGATCAGTCCAAATGCACGTAAATCCCACTAGTTAAATGAAGAGCTACCGGGTAAATTTCATATACCTGATAGCCCTATTATTTATTTTCGATTTTAATCTGAATGGGAGCTGATCAGTCCACCTGATTTGTGACCAGTTCTCGGCACAGATCAGGTATAAGTCATGTGACTTTTGGGTCAAGCAGCATTGGGTAAGTGTAATATGAATATCGAAAGAATTTTAGCAATCTGATATCTCTCTTAATCCTTACCGAACTGTCTATAATATCAGTTGCATATTTGCTACATCGAAACCTGATTTCTTATTATTCTTATTATTTATTTATTTTATATACATTATTTATTTATTTATTTATTTATTTAAACGTATATTTTTTATTTCATTATTATACATAAATTACATTTATTTATCCTATTTTATCTATCTACATTATGTTGTTAATGGTTTGGAACATTGTTCCAGTTAGTTCGATTCCAGAAAATAACTACAGTCAAACTTCGATATACTGATACTGTCGGGACAGGAAAAAAGTATCGGTACATTGAAACAT